TATATAATACATACATATTTTATATACATTTTAATTTCTTAATTTCTGTATCTATCAGTGATGTTATATATCCACTAATAATAATCAATAAAAATATTTTTTATATAAAGATATTTAGCAAAAAATGCATTTATATCCATAATTATAAGCTATTTATATTGGATATAACATAATATTTGATCTAATATGTTAAACTTTAATACGAGAAGAGAATTTTCTTTTAAAATTTATTCTGAAAATATGACAGTTGTGATACAATGTAATATTTTAAAGATTTTACGATGCACTTCAGTAAAATTGATCAAACTTATTTTATACTTTATACTTTATTAATGAATGAAAGAGATCTGCATTAAAAAATTCTTCGAAATACAATATTGTCTCATCACCGTCGTATTTTCAGAATAAATTCTAAGAAAAAATTCTCTCCATGTACACATGATTATCTCATTATTCATGTCGTGCACATTTCTTTTCTTTAAAAAACTAAGAGTAATTAGTCATAACATTTACATATAATTTTTTTAAATACACAATCTGACAAATACTTTCCAAACTATATGTAAGACTTATTTAATAATTTTTGTTAAAGTGATTAATCTGAGACATGAATGACGAATATAGTAAACGACTGGAAAATTAATAATGAAAAAGTATACAAAGTGTTAATGTTGGGAACAAGATGTCAAGAACGCACCGCAATCTATATTTCAATATATTCTAAGATATTTGAAAAAAACAGGAGATCATATGGCTTGTTTTTTTACGTCTGCCACAATTACTAGGGACTTATAGGCTATCATGAACATTTGAAATAGGCGATTCGCCGACAATCAGTTACTTATCTCTATTCGCGAGGTGTAATTTCGCGAATTGTCGCCTATCAATCGTACCTATTCTTTGTTCCATTTCAGTGTACGCGTGGCGCGATCCACCGTAGAAACGGCCAATATTTTCTGACACAATAGAACCAGTCATGGAGATTACGTGCGGCTTCGTTCGATAACGCAGCTTTGATGTTAAGCGTAGAATTTTTCCGTCAAATAGCTTTCCGAGCGATGCCGTAACGAATCGTCCCGATGGATGTGGTGAGTCCATCAGCGGCGCGCAGCGTACTTGTTAAAACGAGTAATTAACAGGCGCCCATTATCGGCTTGTTGCGTGGTACTCTGGGGGTGTCAGCGATTCTTCATTGAAACGTTATTCAATTACCTGCATTACGTGCTCTGCTCGTCATATATCGTTTCTATCGTGAAATGAATTGATTTAAGAAATAAAAAAGCAATTTCTTTGGTGTGCAGTTATTCTGATAATAACAATAAACTAATCTAAGAGCGAGAGGAAAATTGCGATTAATTAAATCATACATTAAATAAATCGAATTAATAATTTCAATTTCGATTTCACAAGATCGATTTCTAGTAAACAATTTAATCAAAGAGACAGTGAAAAGAATTAGTTGAACTACACTTTGATAAAATTTTGTTATTATATTTTATATTGTTGTAAGTAAAAAATTGTACGTTTTTATTTATATTTATTTGAAAAATATTTGGTTTGATGAATGGATTTAATACACTCACGCTGCAGAACGAAATCCTTCTGCAGAAGCAATTGATGATTTAATATTTTGGAAAGCGCAGACAACACGCTAGTGGAAAATTGTATGATTTTGCTGCATTCCGATTTTGTTGATATTCTGTGAAAAATGGATCAGTTTCCGGTTATTTGAAACACAGTACGTTACGTAGATACTTTCTTTAGTATTTTAATTGCCGCACTTATTGTTAGTAATTGTTTTCTCTGATTTTCAAGCGATAAAGATTGTAATATGACTTATGTTACATTAACCTTTTAGTAGGTAGGCGATTACATCATCTCACGCACAGTTATCTCTTAATTTGAAAAAGGAAAATAAAAAATATTGCCCAGAAGTTCTAAAGTTCATCACTTTTACATTCTTCTCTATTCCATAAAAATGTTTTTAGTAATGTAAATTTAACTCTATATGTACCTACTATTAAAAAAATATAACTATAAAGTTTTTATGGAATATTTTGAATATCCCATCTATTTAAAGATAAAAATGTGGTTTTACTTTTTCAGAGCTGTTGTTGCTTTAAAGACGTTTGTGGCTATCCTACGCAGTACGCGTTCATTGTATAATGCAGTTATGCAAATTAAATTAATAATAACGCTGTTGGTGAATCCAACTGAACCGGATCGCGATCTAATTGTTTCGCGGGTCATATCGATGACGGTTTGTGAGAACGGAGGGAAGAAGGGAGGAAGTGCAATTAATTACTTTGATTATGATTAGCCGTGCGTTATGTAAATCGCTTAGAGAGGTAGATGCACAACCGATATTCGGCCACTTTGCTAATTGCCCTTCGATTTGCGATTAACGCGTGTGAAATAGTGTGAACGCAAAACTCAATTCGAACATATCCTATCAAGTGTAAACATCGTTGTGTCCTATGCGATCATAGAAATAATTTATAATCATCAAACTATCAAATACAAATTATCAAATACGTGTTCTAAAGTCAAATAAATTTTATAATTAATTCACTGAATTAATTATGCATTCGAACGAAACGAAAAAATACCGAGATTTAGGCTCGACAATAACAAATGATTAACACGATTTTCTCATCTCGATATTCACTTCTCAAGATTTCTGAATTTTATTTTGAGACATTCGAGAATATCGTCTATTTCATTTCATTTATTTCAAATACTTATATAACTAGGTAGCACATTATATAATTATAACAATAAAAATGTCGAGACAAGAAAAACAAATAACATATAATAATGTCGAAAATGTTACTTTTAATGACACAAGAAGTTCTGAGACGATATTCCGAAATTCTCGTATCAAAATGC